TGATTTGCTTATCTGTAGTCTGCTGCATTCGAGGCATTTTGTTTACTTAATTCAAAATCAATAAGTTTATTTCCTGGACAATAGCCAACATTCTCTTGGAATAGCTGCCTAATTTTAAAGTCAAGTTCGGACGTTCATTGCAAAAGAATCTAGTAACAATGCCCAAACAAAGAAACAGCCCATTGTCCAAACATTGTTGGAATAGCCTGTAGAAGCAACTCAGCTGATGGCTATAGACTTGTCAGACTGAGAATTCACTGCACATCTGTGTCTGCCAATATAGAATTTACTCAAAATTGCCCCTCTAGACACTTCTTTACATAACACATATTTAGCTTATTAGTGCTGTCATTTGGGAGTGTGGTCAGTTTTTGAGCAAAATCTCACTGACTCTTTTAGCATGGATCATATCACAGCTGCCATTTTAGAATCACAATGATTAGGTTTGAAGTTCAAATGATTTGATTTCCCTTTAAAGTTTCAAAAGCAGCCTCTGGGGCAGACTTACACAATTAATTTTTACTGAGGTCTGCTGGGTAATTTACTGTAGTCAGAGAATTTTCACTAAGGTAAAGTAATTACCACTGGGTAATTTTATGGCACGCTGTTCAGTAGGAAGCAACATGTTGTCTGGCTTCTTCTCAGATAAGTCACGGAGGAAAGTGAAGATGCTGCTTCTGGGAAACAACATGTGTCCGAGACATTGAGGAGAGATAAGCAGAACTCACTCACTTCCCAGATGTGGACCAGAAGTTGTACTTGCCCTCAAAAAATCTCTTTTCAGAAGTACGCACGAGGACTTACAGTATACAATCTCATAAATATCATACTGAGAAGCTTCCAAAATTGAAGTACTGAACCTGGGATTCTATAGTACAGGAACAAAGGATGCATTCTTAGTTTAGTTTGAATGCAGATGTAAACAATGAAATGAAATATCCCTTTGAGATTTGCATTTATCACTTATGAGTAGCACTTCCTAATAATCAGTGGAAGCTAGGCTGACAAGCAAGCTTCAGAGTAAAGTCACAAGGGATACAAGTCTATTTTAGGTTTACTGTTGACAGTAAGGGTCAGAGGAAAAATAAACTCAGCAAGCAGTGTCATGCTACCACAAACCTCTGCTGGTCAAGCAGAAAGTAAATTACAGCCCAACTTTTCAGCACGACAGAAAGACTTGGGCAATTGGGCTGCCCTGCAGTGCACAGAGCACCATACAGATGAAGAGGATTAAGCACAAGTGAGACATAACATAAGTGATAAATAACATCTAGTGATAAATAAAGCTCAGAAGATGGGAAGAGCTAATTATCCCACAGTCTGGAGTGGTGTACAGTATGCTTATCCCAACAGCATCCCTATTATTTTACTATTTGAAGTCTGCAAAATTAATCTGGAAAGCCCTGTGAAAATGAGGACTGATTATGACTCCTTCAAGATATCCTCCTTCCGGACAAGCTACAAGTACTATAGGTGATCTCTACTTCTGGATCTAACCATTAAAAAAAAAAGAGCAGCAGAAGGACTTAGATATTACTTCTATTATATACACATATATATGTATTAAAAGAAAATCAGAACTTTTTAATCTTAAAATTTTAGTCCTCAGCTTCATTTCATGTACTGTAATACTACTAGGAAAAGCTAATTTGATTGCTCTATCACACTAACAAAAGCTAAGATTTGTGTAAGAGGAAGAAGAGGGAATAAAGTATGTTCCATATTGATATCGCTGCTGATGGCATTACTGGCTTTCATTTTGTTAAGTTTACTTCTTATTAAACCTGGTTATAAAAGCAGCTGTGTGGACTCATAAGCACCTCTATCTACATCTCTCCATGGACTCATTAAAAATATCTGTTTCATATAGTCTCATCATCTAGGACAGATTTAATTTTATTCTGTCTTTCACTAGGCATAAAAAACCCCTGTCATTCACTGTATGGAAACACTATTCTGTAATACCTATTCTCCTGTTATTTTCCTGTTCTATGCATTTTTGTTGTTGTTGTTGTTTTGATGAAGCCACAAATGTTTTGTCCATTGTCAGGGGCTAGTTGCTTGAAACAAAGCAGGCTTTTTAGTTCAAGCATAATTATACAGAACAGCAAAGGCTAAACAATTTATTATTCTCTTTTTTCCTAACCTGTGATGATACACTGTAAATTCAGATGCAGCATCCATATACCACAGATAAAATCCTTCAGATTTTAAGAAAGAGTTTAAAAACCAAGTGCAGTTCTAGTGGGTGATGCCCAATCATTGTGTTTCCATTCTCTCCCAAACTAGTGCTCAGTTGTGCTGTTCTGTTGGATCGTTTTAAGGTAGTTGCTTACCATTCTCCCATAGCTCTCTGCTTATCTGAAGTACCCCTCAGACATTCGGAACAAGTGCCCTACGGAGTAATGCCACACTACTTGGTTGTGAGTTTGGAGCTTTACAGGACGTCAGACTAAAAAATGCTCCTGACTTTTCTCATGGGACCCATAATTCATCCGTTTTGTCAGCACTATTTTTGAACTGCTGTCAGGCAGCATTGAAGATATACTGGGTCAGGTCACACTGGGTCCTGTGAGCATGCCTCTCATTAATACAAATAGGATGTCTCTTATATGTTTAAAGTCTTACGGACTGATGGAAAAATGTCAGCCGTTTCCAGTGACTGCAGTAATACCCATGACGATGGTGAGCAATACCAGGAGAATAACATCAAGGGGCCTAGTTCCAGTGCGATGATCAGAGATCAGAGTCTTTGGGATTGCTCTAGTAAATCACCCTTCTCCTCTTTTTTCTTCAACGCTCTCTGCTGAATCAAATCATTATTTTACAGAATCTCCTTCTCTTTTTATAAAGTCTTCTTTAGAAACTTGCCCAGTGTTGACTTCTGACCATGTTGACCATGGAGATATAGGTGGTAAGGAAAAGGAGAAGAATAGCCTGTTCTTAGTCTCCTTGTCACCAGTAATAAAATACTGCTTTCTCCATGGGGTTAAATGCTATATCCACCCTCTCTTCTAAACTTGAGCTTCTTTTGGGAGAATTCTCACTTACCTTTCCACGTATAATGACTCTGTACTAGTGCTGGAGAGTATTAAATTGATAGGTGGAAAATTAATGGAGCAAGCAAGAATGATAAAGAATAATTACTTGTGCATTGTGGCTTTTGATAAATTGGCAATCTGAGGGGGCAGTAACATAAAACACATTAGTAATTGTAAACGCTTGGTGCAGTCTGTCTTTGTTAGAGAACTTCAGTGACACCGCAGAAGAGAAAGAAGGGTCTTGTTCAAAACATGAAGCAATGGGTATGGAGGAAGGTGTACCCCACTGCTATTTAGCAAGGTAGTGTCTTGCTACCTAGAGTGCAACTTGGAATGAAACAACAAATATCCAAGTAGCTTTATATATGAGAGGCCACAGAAAGGCTCCTTTGCCTTATGATCTTACGATGTTCATGAAAACCAGAACCTCACCTTTACCTTGAATCATATTACAATGCAGTCACTGTTACTCAGTTTAAACCTCCTATAGCTGTCTTGTTTCTGTATCTACTGTTCCATTCAATTTGGTTCATCTCCTGTAGTGTCAATATCTTGAGTAGGGCACTGAAGGAAAAGCAAGCAATCTGGAAGTGACGTCATGGGCCAGCTCAGTGACTGATGGCTGTGGGATTTAGAATTCAAGGAAATAAAGCTGTTAAGGATTCTTCTGTCTAGTACAGATGTCATTTGAACTTGTTAGGGGAGGCAGGTAATAGCCATTTGGTGAAGAAAGGCTTTGATCTCCCTCAGAAAAATGATGGGTAGACTATTTCAGAAACAGTTATTTTCAGTACTTGTGGATGCTAATCCACATCCTTCTAATTTTCAGTCTTTTTCGTAGACGGCATTTTTAGCAATGCTGTCAGCTTCTGTGCATGTTGTGCTTTTGCCATTACTGCATTTTACATGTGCTTAGAAGTCTTAGATGCTTATGAAAATATCTCTGTTTAGAAACAACAGCAGTCCTTGACATGGTATCTCGGGAACTAGTTGTAGTTACTGGAATTGTCTGCTTTACGGACAAGCTTGTCTGCTTTGTAACAGGTTGATAACACCTACCATAGAAACAGATTAATGGAAGGTCTCTCCCAATCAACTGGTCTGACAATGTTTTGCAGATGCCTGTTTTTTCTAGCTGGCAATCAAAAGTACAGGTGTTCTGCAGAAATCCAAATAGCTCTACCCTGAAGAAGAGTGGGTATAATGCAAGTGAATACAAAAACATCATTTAATGGTGAAAAGGTGTCTTCCTCAGTGTCTCATAGCTTGTAAGTGAGAAAAACCTAACTGAAAGGACAACATGACTTCAGAGTAGGGTACACAGATACAGGGGCAGGTTCATTCAACTTCGAAAAAAATGCACTGTGGAAAACATCAAGTTTCCAGAAATCCTATTTGAAAAAACAAGCCAATATACAGAGATACAAAACAACTGAAGTTTGGATTATCTAGAGTAACATCCTGTATAGACAAGATGTAAAAATAATTTCTAAAGGGCTTTTTTTTCTTGACTTGTGTAATTAACAGCATTACACAAAGTTTCATTAGCAGGATTCAAAGTTATTGAGGGTGTATGCTGCAGACTTTGCTTCTTCATACCCTTATTTGAAGTTTCTAGACACTTTCAAGGAAAACTATGAACTACTATGATCTTGATTTTTAAGAATGCTTTCACATTGCTACAATGATAAACAAGCGACAAATGCATTTTCTCTCTCCCATTTCTCAAAGCAAACCAAGAACTCAGTCCCCTACTGTTTTCACTGGTAAAGCTCTCATTACAGCTTTTAAAGTTATTCCTGTAAAAACAAAAAGAAACTCCCAACCAACCAACCAACTACAAATCAGAGGAGTTGGTTAAAAGAAAGACACAACACCAGAGATTTTTTTCCCCCATAATAGAAACTCTGAAACAAAACTAAACTATAAAAGCAAGCATACGTAAGGTGTATTACTTACAGTGTATTTCTAGAACCTGCATTGCTATCTGAGGTGTAGAGTTTAGGGACTCATGATCTACTCTGCAACTTACAACTGCACCATCATCATTGCGATCTGCTAGGAAATCCAGCGTGCTGCTGACTGTGAATGTTTTACGATTTGCATCTTCTTCTTTTAAATATTTAACATCTGAAAGAAAAAATAGACAAACCATTTTCTCTCCAATATTTTTAGGAAAAGCAGTCCAGCAATAGACAGCTAAATTATCCATCACACCTGTTGAAAAAACACGTATTTCATGTGTGTATTGATCTCTTTAAAACAAAAGTAAGTAGACTGTAGCTATTCCTCAGTTTGCTCCAATTGTCAGAGCAGCAGATATTGAAAAAGAAAACTTTAAAATTGGTTACATGATACTACATTTAACCAGAAATTCCTTTCATCATTATCTCTTTCCTACATGTTTAGGTCCAAATTTGATATAAACTTTCTATGCAGTTCATTAGAATAAATGCAGTCTCCTCCCACCCTCACTTCCCTTAAGTATTCAGTGTCACTAAATATTAAATTTTCAAAGTCTATGCTTATAAATCTTTCAGAGTAATGCAATACAAGGATATTATTGAAGACATGTGAACTAAGGGTTGTATGCATCTAGTCACATTAATCCTGTGCTTACTTTATCCATTGCTTATTCTGTTGTTTGGCTAGAGTTATGCAAACATAAGAATTAAGCTAAAGTATAGCTATCAATTGAAATGAATAACTGTATATAGAGCATATAATAACTGTAGATAGAGCATGTCATAGTATAGCAACTGTCATAGAGGATGTCTGGAATCTACAGACAAGTCTCAAGAAGACCAGAAATAAAATTTCTTTGAAGAAACCCTCTACTCACTCCTTTACATCATGCTAAATTGGACTACTGCTTTTGTGAAGATTCAGTTAAAAATCTGAGCATTTACTTTAAAAAGTTCTAATGTATTAACTACAATATGAGACCTTCTTACACATACTTCAGAAATGTTTTACTTGGTTCCTAACTATTTGCAATACTTATTGATTTTAATTTATTTCATCAAAATAATAAGCTTGTTTTATTGATTTGTTACAATGAAAGCTTTAAAAGGCATATATAAATATATAAACAGAAATTACATTGAACTGAGATTGTATATGTCCTCTGTGTCCTAAAAAAAAAAAGTGAGAGTATACAGTTTTACAAATTGCACTAAATCCCATTAGAGAAGAAGATGGTCTAAATACGATTTCCATGAAATAACAATTTTAGAAAGAAAATCTTAAATGGCTTAAGCTACATCTTTTTAGATTAAAAATATCTCTGATATTAGAAAGGTGGTCTTCTTCGTTGTGCCCAGATAAAGACAAGAAGTAGGTATATAATTTCCATTTTTCCCTAAGAAATAATTGTATCCTGCATAAAAGCATTTTTCTGCCTGTTGGTTGCTAAGCTTTAAGAGTCTTCAATTTCTGCTACAGTGACTATTAATATTTAGGGATCAGTAGGTGAGAGAAATATTTACCAGGGCTAAAGCAAAGTTATTATAATCAAACAACAAATGTCTTCACTAATATTTAAAGCAAACAGATGAGATTTTGTTCCCAGAGTTAGGTTTCCAAATTTAATAATAAGCACCTATATAGATAGCCTTCTGCTTATAAGTAATGTACACATCACTTTGCTTACTGACTTTGGGCAGAGGACAGACAGCTCCTGAAAACATCAACAACTTTAATTTCAGTGAGAGGTTGTGGATGCTTAATCCTTTAGAAAAACAAAAGCAGTTAATTTCCTAAGCAGATGTTTAGAAGCATTTCTCTAGACATCTACTGTTTGGAAGAGTTCAACTTTTAGAGTTAACTACTTGTTTAAAAAGGATGGTGATACTATTCTATATACTGTTGACATCGTCATCAACATAAATAATTAGCTTGTTCCCTTTATTGGCTGTATCTTCCTAGATGTTTCTTCATAGCAAACTGAAGGTGTGATTGTAACATAAGCTAACTGAATGTAAGCCCACCTGGATATAGGAGCAGTGGAGATCAGATACTGGGTATGTAATCGTATGCTAGCATTCAGAATATTTACCCATGTTTTTTACAGAATTTTTAAATATGTCTACTGTAGTCCATTCTTTTATTTCTTTTCCTGCTACTCATCTCTCTTCTAAATAGCCACTTTAAAAGTGATCCATTATAGAGGCACTTTCTCTGGAAATTACTATAATGAAACAGATTGGGGGATGACTAGATAGAAAATAGCTTTATAGAGGAGGAACTGAAGGTCTTGAGGACCGGTTGAACATGAGTCAGCAGTGTGCCTTTACAGGGTTGAAACCTAAAAAACCGAGTGCCCTTCATTAATAATAGCATAGCCACAAGTCAAGGGAAAAGGCTTGCATGGCTACATCTAGAGTACCAGGCCCAGTTTTGGGCTTTCTGGTACAAGAAAGATGTTAACAAACCCAAGTAGGTTCAGGTGAAAGGCATAGAGATGGTCAGTTGCAGGAGCATACAATGTACAAGGACAGCTTAAGATTGTTGGGTTTGTTCAACCTGATGAAGAGAAGAAAAAAACCAGATCAATGTGCTGCCTTCAAGTACACAATACACAGTCATAGAGAAAAAAAGCCAGAGTGCTCTCAGAGGTGTGCAGCAAAAGTTGAGGGGAAATGAACCCAAGTTATACCAAGGCAAATTCTGATTACGTATCATGAAATATCTACATATAATGAAAATTCTCCACAGAGGGCTTTCAAATACTGAAACCTCTAGCCCAGACAGACTATGGAATCTCTGTCCTTGGAGATTTTTTACAATTGAGTGGGAAAGGATCTTTAGCAACCTGATCTAACCTTTGAACAGAGGTTAGGTCATGTGAAATCCAAGGGTCAACTAGGGGCCCACTTCTATGACTTTATCAGATAGCTGCACATAGGGATATGTTTGTATTAACTAATACTAGTTTACATCTCATAAGTATAGATGTTTAATAGTGAAAATAATAAATAGAAATTATAGAATGCCTATCATTTGTTGTTTATTGTCAACTATAAAAGCACGTTACTCCCATATAGAAACACTCATCTTTTTAAAAGACAGTTTTGCTGTTTTTACAAGGCAATTATAATCTATGCTTATATTTAAAATCAAGTTCTGACATGAAATGGCCTTATTATCTAAAAAAATTTCATTTTTATTTTAGAAGTTTATCAAGACAGAATGTTCAGTGCCTCTCTGAATTATATAAACTAATTCAAAATGTCTTACTATGTTGCAACAAAAGGAGCTGCTATTATCTTATTTATTTTTGAAGTCAAATTTTGCTAGGGAAAAAATAATCCATTAAAAAAATAGTCTTGAAACATAAAATTATATTTTTTACATAATATTACTGGAATACCATAAAATAAATTTTATTGAAAAAACAGACTTATTTTTAATTAAAAGTATTTATTTAGCATTGCTAATATTTTTGCTTTTATTAAATTTCTAGAAATGTCACCAGAATGCTAAACTGCAGATAGAACACTCAAATAAAAGGTATGGTACTCAGTGCTTCACATTCAGTCTCTTCCATTGCTAACACTTACTCCATCAAACAGTATTCCTTTACCAGATGATGATTCCTTTTTTGAGTAACAGCAATTGAGCTACAATTTTAGAATGGCTTCTTCCCCTTTGGTGCAACTCTGAACTCAGTGCATCATTTATATTCCTTTGTGCCATGTATAATACACTGTAACACAATTGGATTTACTGGTGCTAGACAGACAAACTCCTAACCTTTAATGTCAGCTGCATTAGCATATAATTTCATATCTATTTTCTCAGATTTATCATTTCACCTTTTACAGTGCACAAAGCTAATGTAACTTCTGCTGATGCCACTGCAAACTGGTTAGGTTATTTTATTTCTAACCTTTCTGAAATGGCAATGTGCTCTTCAGAAGACCTAGAAAATTAAGCTGAAATAAATGTGCTCAGTACTTTCCTCTCATTTCTGGGTTTTGGTTTTTTTTGTGTTTGTTGTTGTTTTTTTTCTTTACTGTTCTTTTTCACACATCTTCTTTGTTCCTTCCCCAGCCCCTTTTTTAAAAAACATTCCTTTAAGAACTGTTGAGAAGAGCCAGTTAGTTAAAGAGTCAGATCACCAAATAGCTTGTTTGGCTTTAATTACATGTCAGCTGAAAGGCAAAGTTATTACAACAGATTTTAAAACATAATTTTAATAATAATATCTTTTCAGATATGCCACCTTGCTGTTAGGCCAACTGTATCAGTGGATCTCTTGAAGTATTGACATTGCTTTGAGTGATTTTCAATCCTTGCATGTCTTGAATAAATATATTCATCCTGTCATCTTTTCTGGATGACAGAATCTATGCTGTGATATGTGTGTAAGCTGTGCTGTTAAATTCTTTTTAATTACGTTTGATGAGTCTGTTGAAACTTCAGCAATTTCCTCAAATTTCCCAATGGCTGGAAAAAATGGTTCTCTGATTCCTCTTTTTCTATCCTTGCTACAGGTGCTGAAACACATTTCAAATTATTCCAGCCTAAAATTCCTGTGTCCTTCAACACTATTCTGATTTTCATCAGAAATCTAAAGACACTTCTAGAATGGACTGAGTTTCTTGGATAATCAACTGCAATCTCCTTTATTTACCAATTTTATATCACAGCTTTGATTATGTACATTGAACTGTGGTAGAGGATACCACTGGTAGATTAATGGATGCTGTAATTAATGCTGTAACTTTGCTTGAGGCATTTTATTGAACTAACAAAATCCACAATGTCAGACAAATATGAGACAAAGCAGACAAAAGTTCATTCTTTTTTAAAGTTACACAGAAAAGGTGGATTATGAATCATTTATTGATCTGGTCTTATAGCAGAATAAATAGAGTTGACACAAATAAATATCAATACCTTATCTTTTTTATTCATCTACTTTATAATGAGCACCTCAGTTGGCTGTGGTAGATGTGACTAAGCCTTGTTATAGAAAGCTCTCTCCACCCATTCATCAAAAGGGATTTTAAACTATCCCAGCATTTATGAGAATATGGACTAGAAAACTAACTTTAAAGTAAAGAACATACAAAGTGAAAGAGAAGGCAGAAAAGAAATACATAACATTTATATGCAACAGTTTCCTATCTCACTGCATCCTCAAAGGCAACTCCTTGCTTTCAGGTTTGGTTTTAGTCACCTGATGACTTTTCAGTTACAGAAGACTTTGTCCAACATCTTCCAGCCCATGTGAAGTTCTCCTCATCCCTTTTAAAGCCTGTCTTCTCCATGCTCCTCACTGTAGACTCTCACCAACCTTGCCTCAGCTGCAGTTTCCCTGTTTCCCAACCAAGATTCCCTCAGTTGCTGACTTTTCCTAACCAGAGCAGGCTCTGTAGCTCCTGTATGAGAAGTGCAGTCTCCTGTCTCCTCCACCACTCCTGCTGCGTAGGTGGTAAGGCTGTGGTAACAATAGTCACAGAATCATAGAATCATTTGGTCGGAAAAGACCTTTAAGATCATCGACTCCAACCGTAACCTGTTGGTTATCCATAACACGTTTCTCTATGAAGCATCATAGTTGAGTTTATTATGCCAAAGAGAGTTCAGAACAATTCAAAACATCGGCTGATAAAGAAAAAATGAAGGAAATTTGAAGAAAAAATAAAAAGATGGCTATATGACTACTCCAGTAATTTACAATCAATTCCTTATCTATATACTACCACTGACTCATTTAACATTTAAATATGCGAAACTTTACAAACATTAATTAAAAATATAATTCTAAATAATGTAACATTTTGACAATCGGACCAAATTACAACAAAGTCCTTTTAAATACCTTTAACTTCTTTGTCATTCTTGAACCATCTGATATCAGCTGCTGGCTTACTACCAGATGTCTTGCAAGTTAGCTGCATCCTCTCTCCCTCCATAACTGGTGAGGTAAATCCAGTAATTTGTGGCTTCTCAGGAACACCTAACAGGCAAACAAGCAAAATGTCTCTGATTGATATTGTCAGCTGCTGCCATGAACATATGACCAACTTAAAGTTCACTTCTTCCTATGCTCTAAGTTCTGGAAACAGAATAATTCTTCCTTGCCTTCTATTAAAATTGAAAGTCAGTGAATCCTGTTTCCTATTGGAAATAAACTGTTAATCTGAACTGCAGTTGATTCTAAAGAATTACATAAAACAGAAATTACCTACTTTTCTAAGGGAAACAGATTGTATTTTAAAAACTATCTCATCTATGTATATTCTGCATGCGGGTCTAGTCTGACTTGCTATTTATTGTAAGGTTTAAACTAGTCTGCACTAGGAATCAGGATGACAAGGTATATTAGAAGTACAGTTGTGAAAATAAAATGTAACTGGCAACAAAACACTGACCTGATTTAAGTTCATGTTTAAGCATGAATTATGAAGGTTTTAATAAAAAAAATCCAGGGAAAAGGGAGGATGAAATTAAGTACAGGAGTTACTTTATCTTCTGAGAACACAAAACCAAACGAACAAAAGGTATCATCACAAATCTATTGGCTATGGAGAACTCTTCAGCTGAATCCAAGTTCTTTGGAGGAGGTCATATGATCATGACATACTATACAGATAATGCTAAATTTGAAATTTCTTTTTTTTAATGAAACATGGAATGTTTTTTTTTAAATATTAAGATAATCGTGAAGAATTTGATCACATGTATAAATCCATTTGACTTCCAAATACATAAGAATAACTGAAAGTGATACTGATGACTCTTCTAAATCTCTGAAAAATGTAATTGTTATAACTTGCATCTTATAGCAGCACTTTGATGCATTCATATTTGTGACTATATAAAGAGATCAGCCACAGTAATTGATCCTGTGCCCTATTTTTCACAGTTTGGTTTGTTCACATCTCTTTTCCAAAATGACAGATTATGTACATAAAAACCAAACAGCAGTACCTATCACACAGTACACATCTGTAATAAATCTACTCCTCTCTTTCTGGACAGAAAATGGTGTCTACTATAATACCTTCACACTTAAATCTTCTAATCCATAACAGAGTAGTCAATAAAGAGATTATTAGTGCATAAAAGGATAGTTCTTCTGATTAAAAGATGTAATACATTTAAATGGAAAATGACCCCTTTTCATAGAAAGTGTTCCAAGAGTTTAAAATGTGACTTTGAAATAGAAAATGACATATAAAAAATGAAAAAAGACAGGCATCTTAAACCTTGCAGCTTTCTTGGAAGGTAAGTAGCTAATGTTGGGAAAATTTTGTGAAACTCTCTCCCAGAATGAAGGTAAAACTAAAAAGACTTTGAAAGATCAAGTTACTTAGGTTAATAAATATTGGCTACTTGTTTTTTTGTCTTTGTAACATCCTTCTATGTCTTTCTGCCATTTAAAAGGTTGATCTGGTCTACTCAGCTATTGTTTAGATCATGAGATGAGAAAAGATTAACCATAGGCAGTTGTTACTCCAGAATATTCTGCTTTGAGTAGATATTTTCCGTCCTTAATAGCAAACTTGAGACGATTTTTGTAAAATAGTCTCATGGGGACTGAAAGGGAGACATATTTCATATCCTATGCACAAAACCAATTCCCTGGCTGGATTAATGTGAATATTACTGGCGCAGAGAACATCTTACATTAGTTCTATTAAATTTAACTGTCTGCCTGTCTATATATAAAAATAAAACAAAAAGAAAGAGAGTCAAGTTCAGGGTCAGAAGAAGGAGAAAAAAATGAAAATCAATTTCAGAAATCATATAACCTCTTAGGTACGCAGGTGTGTTACAATGAACTATAGCAATTTTGGATGATTGGGCTACTGACATTCATAGAATCATATAAAGCTTCAAGCAGAAACTTTATTTCCTGGGTATCTCTTGAAATCTATTGCTTTTCTATGTGTATCTGTAACCTTTGGGGAAAACAGCAGAGCATTTAGAGGATAAAGCATAAAAGAAGCAGCAACCCCTGTGAAAATATGCACTTTATAAACAAAAAAAGAAAGCAGAATGAGCCAAGAAAATGCACAGCTAAGGAAAAACGATAAAGCTCTAAAGCTTTTGATTCCATTGCTTTCTGATTTTCTCCCCTTTGCCCTATACAATACATTGTTAGGAGATGAACACATGCACTTTCTTTGCACTTCTGCTGCCTGAGATGTAGAGGTTATGTCCATATTATGGAGCACTCACACTGTGGTATTTGTGTGCTCCCTAATTCATTATCCTACCACAGTGCAAACAGTAAGAGGCATGTTATTTTTCAGCACAGCAATATGAAACAACAAAATTCAGGGAAACAAGATCAGACATTTACATGTGCCTTCTGCCAAGCTTTAGAAAAGTTCATTCTTATCATGATTTACCAAAGCCTGAGAAGTTTTACACTTGCTTCTTTATGCTCAGCTATTTATACTTACCGAGAACGGTAAGAAAAGCCTTGGAAGTTTTGACAGGCATAGTAAATAAAGAGCAGGTGTACTGCCCTTCATCCGATAGAGACACGTCACTGACACTGATACTGAGTTCATGCCATGAAGCTCGGACCAATTCAATTCTGTTGTCCCTCAGAGCTGAAAAAGAAAAAATCACATTATAAGAAATGAAACAGCACATTAACAAAGTGTGGTATGTGATACAAGAGGCTCTATGAGGTAGCCTAGTGAAATCACCCTAGAATACAGGGATATGGACACAGTCGTCTTTATGCATAGTAGGTTTTTTATTCTGTGGAATGAAGTACAAGAGTTCAGCAAGTTTCCAAACAGTGTATGAATGACTTGTAATGTATATAAACCTAGAAACTAGTCCCTCGAAGGGAACTAGTTACCTTTGGTCTTATTCTGAAAAAAAACCAACATTGACTTCAATTTTTGCCCCTTAACAGCTTTGCACAGTGCCTAAAATAACTCCTTCTTAAAACCTTTTCCTTTCTCATGTATTTACAAATACGGATGAACATTAAGGAACTTGTTCAATCTACTAACAAACTATATTTACAACTAAGAAGTCTAGCATCATATAGCTTGCCTACAGATTTTTCTCACATCTATTACTACTCATATTGAACTGGAATATCAGATTACTTGAAAGCTGTAAGAGTACATTTCTTATTATGACTATACTGGAAGTTCCACATCTACATGCATATATAATACATTTAAAATTTGAGGTAATGAAATGTAGTGGCTTTACTTTTTTGTTTATGACTAAAAATCTGAACTTCTATCAGAAAATCCTTCCTAACAAAATTTTGTTTGCGTGAAACCACTGAGGGAAGAGGAGCAGGTAGATTTACTTAAAATTCAAAATGGCACTTTAGCTAATGCTTTAAAATTTTAAATATTTTGAAGCCTATACTTAGACTAAACCACATTTTCTATTGAAAAACAGTCAAAACATTCTCAAACATTCCATTTGTCTACAGTAAGGCTATTTTGAGAATCTACATATACTAATCAAGTCTTTCCACAGCATAGACATACTAGTATCACAGGTAAGTAAACACCATAATTCTCCAAAGTAACTCAGAAAGTTTTGCTGTATACCTCCAGATTCGAATCCTTGACCTGACAGTATCTGAATTTTCAGTGAGTCTATTTTTACAGTAAGCCTTTGAAAGTCAAAAGTTAAATGGGACTATTATTATTACTGGGAGAGCTATGCTTTGATTTGTGAGAAGAACCAAGATGTACAAATCTAATGCTCTTCTCACTCACCTCTTTCTTAAGTCCTCAAAGGCTCTTATATTTGTTTCTTATAACATTTATATCTTTCAATGGTAACAAGGCTTTACTGTGGTCCTTTGGCTACTAAAGCTAGACGTTTCTTCCCCACTCCAAGGCTCTCCAAGTGCTGTCAATACAGGAAGATTTACACCAAAATAAGAAGCTACAATGGAGACTCAGCAAAAATGTCACTTGAATTTGTTGTCTTCTAAGGCTAACATTCAAATTTCTTTACAGTAACCTCAATCTGAATTTACCGGTTATTTCAGGGCAGGCCAGCTAAAGCTTGATGTATTCTCTGAAGGGCCTGATGACTGAAAGGTGACAGCTTAACCAGACCTAACATACAAGCATGCCATGAGCTGCTCTGAGGCACATCAAAGTGAATGAGACTGTGTGTAATGGACACATTCCAAACATAACTGTGACATCTTATAGTCAGCCACAGCAATAAATAAATAATTGTGTAGTATATAATATGAAACACATATAATGATGGAAAATAAGTGAAACATTAGAGCAAACAAACAAGCAAAACAAAAGCCACAAAATGAAAAGCTCTGTGTGTATACCAATATGCTGACATAATGGCCAAGAAAAACAAGCTCAAGAGAACAAAAAGTACATAGAAGCAAGCTTCTACCAGCCCAAAACAGCAGGCAAAGCTGATGACTTTGGCTTTACTAGCCAAAAGCTCTAAAAACAGCGAAGCTGTTGCTATCTTTGAGGAAGTAGATGGAGACTCAGAATTCATTTCTCAGCTCTTCAATTCTATTCAAATGCAAACTAAGCAGATATAAGAATGGTAGTTTATTTCACATTACTGACCTTTCAAATAAAAATATTTTCAAAATGACCCAGTGCTTCCAAATGATTACCACCATATCCATATACATAATTTGGAGAACAGAATGTGAAATACAAAATAAGCCCTACAAAAAAACCCTCAGCATCTCATAATTTGAAAGTGGCTATTTTTGCCTCCTCTTAATCAGAAATTATTTTTTAAATAATGCAGTATATCACAGAATCACAGAATCACAGAACGTTAGGGATTGGAAGGGACCTCAAAAGATCATCTAGTCCAATCTCCCCGCCGGAGCGGGAACACCTAGATGAGGTTACACAGGAAGGCATCCAGGCGGGTTTCGAATGTCTCCAGAGAAGGAGACTACACAACCTCTCTGGGCAGCCTGTTCCAGCGCTCTGGCACCATCACTGAGAAGAAGTTTCTTCTCAAATTTAAGTGGAACCTCCTGTGTTCCAGCTTGTGTCCATTACCCCTTGTCCTATCATTGTTTGTCACCGAGAAGAGCCTGGCTCCATCCTCCTGACACTCACCCTTTATATATTTATAAATATTAATGAGGTCTCCCCTCAGTCTCCTCTTCTGCAAACTAAAGAGACCCAGCTCCCTCAGCCGCTCCTCATAAGGGAGATGCTCCACTCCCTTGATCATCTTTGTAGCCCTAAGCTGGACTCTCTCCAGCAGTTCCCTGTCCTTCTTGAACTGAGGGGCCCAGAACTGGACACAATATTCCAGATGCATATAATCTTCATATTTTGTTTTACCATTTTCAATTGCTACTGCCTCATGATAAAGATTTATGTAGCTGTTGGAATATTTTCCTATAGATGGGGCAATGTGCAGAATTTCAGGCACTAGAAAGAACTGTAATGAATTTCACCAAAGCACAAATGGTCTACAGATGATGCCGATAGCACAGAATTCTGATCCTACAGGTAAAGGAAAAAACAACTGAAATACAAACCACCTACATCAACTACATTCCTACTGCTCCCCTCCCTCATTTCTTCCCCTACATACCTTTTTTAACCTTTGTACAACACAGAAACCTCAGCTTAGTCAATTTTCTGGAAAAGTGATAAAAAAAAAACCCAACCACTGATCAAGAGCTGAAATCAGCTGTTCCATGTTTCAGCCTGGAGTGAATTTTTATTGAAAGACCAGAAAGAAAGAGTTTTATAATGGAAATATCAACACAGAACCTTTGCAAAAATTACAGCAAATACCACTGACATAATACTTCGCAGGAAAGCTGTTTGTCAGAAGCACTAAGTCTAAATGCAATTAATTATCTATGTCATCAATTTCAAACCTAAACATCTGTAAGCTTTCCTACCTACACAGATTTGAGAGCAAACCAATAAGAAAACTCTACCACTATTGCTTAAACAAGGCTAGCACTTACATGGAGTCTTTAGAATTTAATTTTCAAACTTTATTCCTACATCTATGGCTATATCCTTATCTGTATCTGTTTAGAAAGACACCAATTCCTCTTATGAAATGGATAGCTGTGATGGATGCCAGAACTGGTTTGTTTCCATTTTCTGTGTTAGGTATGCTTTGCTAAAATAGTGAAGTTGGATCAGAGAAAATCTGGCTGCTTAACTGTCTAGGCCTGGCTCCCGCAACCAACTGCTCCCTCCTACAGCAAATGAACAGTCAGCAGCATTGGAGGAGTACTCCTAGCCAGCTACCAATCTCCAGCTATGGAGACTGAGTGGAGCAGGGATCTTGCACGTGTCAGAGAGTAAGCCCTGGCCAAGCCTGGTTTATGGAGCAAAGAAGCCCACGGAGCCTGAACAAAAGTCAGCTACTGAAAGGTATCAACTGCCAAGCAAAAGCTTGAATGGCGGTTGGACTAGATGATCTCCACAGGTCCCTCCCAATCTCTACCATTCTGTGATTCTGTGAAGAAGGCACACTTCTCAAGGAGCTAGTGGATGGGAAGATCTATTTACAGTACTCTGTATTCCATCACTTTCAGCAGATTTGAGTTCTACTTGTTTAGAAATTGATCTCATCTAGTTTATTATTCTCTATGTAAATACGTGAGCTTCAAAAGCTTTCTGTAAGCTTTTTGATCGCTCTTTCCTTAAAGTGAGAATTGCCCCAAACAAAGCAATTTTACCACAAGGTTCAAACCAACTTAAGGCTCCTCCAGAGTAGTTTAAATAAAGTACCATAAAGTAAAATACAAAATGTTCTCTCTTATTTAATTAACAGCTGAAAACATAGAGCAGAACACATTTTGGGAACATGCTGTATGAATGTGGAGTTTGGTACACAGATTTCCTATGTACTGAAATGTCCATGTATTGTTCAATATCAATGGCAGAAAATATTTCTAGCTCGCCATAAAAGTTAACTGGAAACACCAACCTTATTTTTAAAGTGTCTCATACTAAAAATACAGCTGCTGTATTGTACTTAGGTGACAGTATGTATTCCTCCACTTTTTAAGAAGGTTATACTAATAGCTCTGTTTGTATTCCTTGGGTAGTTTCTGAATGCTACTTATGAGTTGTATTGCGGTAGTGACTACACAGCTCAGGTGAGCACAGAAAAGAAAGCTCTGTCCTTAAAGACTTTACAAGCTCCATCCTCATATGACTTGCATGGTTTCCTAGCCTCACTCCTACCTCTGCCTGCTCTTTCAGAATCATCTCTGGAAGCTCGCTCTTTTTTCCATTTCACTTTCTCAGAAGCCAAACAAACCTTTTTGGCCTCTTCCTGAGGATCTTCATCTATACTCCTGAATCATTACCTTATTAATAGTTCTCATACCTACATTTCTGCATGATACAGAGATGCTAGGAAAAAGGTAAATCTAAAAAAATATCTATTTGACTTCTGAGAAATACACCTATCCCAAAACAGTAACAAAGACCACCACTACTAACTTCTTCCTGGATTCTTATGTTGCAAGGATTGATAAAAAATAAAAAATGCAACAAGAAATATAATTGCATAGTAAATTCCAATATGACCTAAATACATTATTTTGGTTTTCTGTAATTCCCAGGCAAAT